GTCCATTCACCCGGGTTTGGGACGTACATGCCGTTCAGTTTTTAAAATGTTGTTTCCCCCTTGCGGACCTTCTTACCCGTTCCTTCCCTTGGCCAGGCCCCCGTTGGTGACATTTTTTGTGTTTTTCTTTTGGATTTCCCGGGTTGGCCATTTGTTCAAGCTTCGTTCACCCTTCCTTTCAGATGTTTTCTTGAGGGTTAGGGTTAATTTCCAAATTCCCGCAAATTTTTTATTCCCGTTGGGCCATCCATTGGGTGATCCAAGTTTTAAATTTCCCGGGGTTGGATTTCCAAAAGCTGGATCCTTCCGGGCCGGAAGGGGTGACACCACCGTTCCGAAATTTTTTGGGGGTTGGTTTTTTTGGGGGGTTTTCGAAAACCCTTTTTTTTTTTTTGGCCTTCTTTTTTTCCCGGGGGGGTTTTTGGAGTTTTTTTTTTACTTGGTTCCGGGGGGGGGGGGGGGGGGGGGTCTTGCGTCACACACCTACGGGTGTACACCTTCTTTTCTACTTCGTTCCATCTCTTTGCCTCGTTCTGTCGCCTTGACCTACTAGCCTTTGCCTGTCTCCGCACCCGCCTCTCGTCACCGCGGTACACCCCAACGTTCGCGCCTTGCTTGATCTGATGCGCCGATCGACCGAACAACAACGTCATCGTCGTCATAAAAAAAAAGTGTACGCGTGCGCGATGGCCCTCGAAAGGAATCCCGCCGCCGGGAGAGCGATGGTTGAGGCCGGCTGGGAGGTGGCCTCTCACGGGTAAGCCCCTAGAATGTATATGTTAATCAATCTTACACAATTCATGTTCCAAGATTTTGTAATATTTCTAGTTGAAATAGCCGATTCGAACCTTCTAGCGTTAGTGTTCGCGATCATGATGCTACTGCTGTTTCTCTTTGATTTTTTCTACCGTACAGTAACAATTGTGAGTTTAAGTAGCCGTTAGTCTCCTCGTGTAACCGTGACTCTTCATGGTGCCCCCCTCCACGCTTTAGTTCAACGAGTTGCTGACGTACACATGTACATGTCTTGTAGCAGAAGTAAGGCTGGGAACCCGCTCCTCGCTTACACTGAGCGTTTTGTTTGTGTTCGTGTGTGTTTCTTGCTATAGCATTTCTTGCTTTCGCATCGACCGTGCCATCCCGGCTGACCAATGAAAAGCCGTCAGTCTTGTAGCGGGATAAGAAAAGCGAATATGCTTTCTTTTCAAAGGGCTGAGGGGGGCGCAGGAGTTGGACGACAGCAGCGTCCTGCGTGTGTGGTTGGTTGTCTGAGCCGTCGTGGGCTAACCCGCACCCAGTGCGTGCGGCAAGACTCGGGGGAGAATCGCTTCTCGAACGACCAATCCGGTTTGTTGGGGTTTAACAGCGGGGAGGCATACGTGTTTTTCCACACCCATCCTTAAACAATGAGATGTAGCATCCTTTTTTGTTTGTTCCTCGTTTCGGCCGCGTTTCCTTGGGGGGAGAACATCCCCGACCACGATACTGCTTTCGTTTTATTCCCCGAGGACTCCCCCCCCCCGCCCACGACATGTCACCCTCCCAGTCATCACTGTCGGGGGGGGGGTGGTCCTTTAACGAATGACACTTTTCCCCGATAGAAGCCGACATCAAACCCTTAGACTTCGGCTTCTATAAATCTTAGTCGTGGGGTTCTAGTCAGCGCTGACTAGTCTAGTGGTTTGATTTCGGCTTCTATACCCCCCTCCCTTCTACCCTTCGAAGTGATACCGATAGGATAGATAGGTTGGGGAAAACATTGTTGAGGCAGGCACCCTAAGAAAGGAGCAATTAGCCATCGGTGATCGGTCCTGTGGGAGCAACGCTCCGTCCTCTCGAGGACGCCGTGGTCAATGGTTTAAGCGCTAAGGTATGCTAAACATAAGAGTACGCCCCCCCCCCCTCCCCCCCTCCTTTTGTTGGCAACTAACTCACTCGCCCTCAAGCTACCGTTGGATAGACTACCAGTACGTGGACGAGGCGACGGAGCGAGAGCACATCAGGAAGGCCGTGGATATCACTGCCAAGGTGTGGCGAGCTGTACGTATGTGTTTTTTTTTTATTATTATTAGCATCGACCGCGCTAACCGGCTGACCAATGAAAATACGTCAGTCTCAGTGTGTGTGTGTTCTTGGCATGCGGACCCCTTCTCTCAACCGAGCAACATGAGAAGAAATTTGTACCTACAAACTGGAGACGCATTTGTTTATTTGAACCAGAATATCGACTCTTTTTTGTTGGACGCAACCCTTCTCCGGGGACTGAATCATACATCGGTCAAAGTGTAACACTTTAGCGTTGAAAATTGAACTGCTTGTTTTTTGCCGCCGACTGCCTCTTCTTGACATCCCAAAACAACACTCTTTGTAAAATATCAATACACATACCGTGGGCTTTTTGCCGGTTCTGCTGTCGTTCACTCGATGCTTGCTCTGATTCGAGTCTTCCTGCTCTTCATCACCGTGGGGAAGAAACACTCAGTGGTATTGTAGATACCAGTGCTTCCGGGCATCATGTTTCCTGTCATGTTTCTTCACGGATGGTGTAAAAGGGTTGCTGAGTATTTGTTGCCCTTGGCTCTCTCTCGTTGTTGTTCTTGCTCCAGGTGTGCGGGAAGAGGCCGGTGGGCATCTATCAAGGCAAGCCGAACCCGAACACCAGAAAGTGAGCAAAACAGACGAAGTCGTGGCAGAGAGTGAACGTCGGATACAAGTTATGTTTGCTTCGCCGAAATACTCGTGCGTCCGAAATGCGCGTGTGTCGGTGCACTGTTCAGATGGGCGTTTCTCTTGCCTTTAATGTCTGTTGGCTGTCTGCCTGTTTTGCTGACTGTCTCTATCTCTCTTTTCGTCCGGCTGTGTTACACATTAGCGACACCCCACGCTATTTAGGGTGTTACTTCTCCCACCAGCCTTCCCATCCGGTCCCGCAGCACACATTCATTGTTTCCGACGGGGTTTCCTCCGATCCGGGGAGAGTCTACACAGATGGTATGGATCCTC